AGACAGGTGTCCGTTTGCTTTATCGTCGGTCAAACATCGTAAACCGAAAAGTATCTTATAATTCGGGACGGAGGGAGTAATTGTTTTAATGTGTAGTGTATATTGTTCTAATGTTTTATTCATCTATTTATTCTTATTTTCTTGATAATAGTATTAACTAATACTACCTCCGTCCCCCTAAGTTTGGGACAAGAGAAGGTGGCACGGTTATTAATAAAAGTGGGTTTATGTGGTTGATATTGAATTGATAAAGTAAGAATAAAGTATGAATGATTTAGAACCACACAAAATTTACCAAATAAGGTATGAGACAATCTTAGTGGGACAGACCGAAAAGGTAAAATGGGACAATCATAGCGGGACGGAGGGAGTATCTACTATTTTACGCTCAAATTGCTTCAATCTTTGCTCTCTAAAAGACTAAGGGGGTGTTTGGCAAATGGCTGTTGGCTGTTAGCCGTTGGCTGTTTTGATTAGCTAATTGATGACAGCGGATTCCATTGGCTGTTTTGATTAGCTGATAGTATTAACAGTTTGTAAAATGATGTTTGGTTAAATGGCTGTTGACAATCAGCTGATAAATAGTTAAATGACATTTAAGGCCATCAATTAATTTTTTTATATAATGTTTTATGTCAACTAATTCAACGGTATTGAGAACTACTAAAGGAGCTATATTCGATTTATTTTAATATATATATATATATATATATATATATATATATATATATATATATATATATATATATATACTCCCTCCAGTTTTTAATAAACTTCACACTTTTCTTTTTGGGACGGTCTAAAATAAACTTCACACTTCCTTATTTCTTTTTTTGGCAAACAAATCTATATCAAAACAATGCCAAACAGTGTCTCAACAGTGCCAAACAGTGTCTCTACAGTGCCAAACAGTGTCAAACAGTGCCTCAACAGTGTACTCTACAGTAAAGTCAAATTTTTTTCTTATTTTGTGTGAAGTCAAACTGTGAAGATTAAAAAAACCGGAGGTAGTATATGTATATATATATATATATATATATATATATATATATATATTTAGGTTCATGTGAGAACTTAATCTTAGGAGAGTAAAAAAGAATAGACGTGAGCCATTGGATTTTATGTTTTTATTTTTTCATTTCTTTTTCATTTAAGGGCAAATAGGAGATTTTCCTAGTCCATTAATGCCAACGATTCTTTCCATAACTAATAATCTAATATCCCATAATATTCGCCGGTCTATTGTCTTCACCGTTCATTTTCTTCTTTCTTCTAAAAGCTCTAAGCAAACCCACTTCTTTCATCTTCTTCGTATAATATTTTTTCATTGTTTCTTTCTCCGTTGGTTGATAAAGAATGAGAGGCTCACCACATATTTTAGTATATTTGCAAAACTTTTGATTTCCTATTGATTAGGACTTTTGTAGAAGGGGATATACGACCAAAACGTTTTCCCAGGGTAAGCCATTATATTCATAATGGTGCAAGAACCATTATTGATTAGCACTCATAACATTGAATGCATCGCGTAAATTAGTGTATTATTTAAATTGTTCTTTTTGCTTTGAAATAACATTGTGTGCATTGAAAAAATTGTGTTATGCACAGTTCTTGTTCTCGATTGCACTCCAGAAATTATAATAGCATAATGCATAGTAATTTAAAATTGTGTTATGCACAATTCTTATTTTCGGTTGCACTCCATAAATTATAGTAGCATAATACATAACAATTTAATAGTCCATTATAGTGCATGATATATGCAAAGGGTGTTATAAAATTTGAAAGTTAAACACAAAGAATTTAAAGTATACAATTTGCAATAGTTTATCGTAAAAATGAATCATTAAAATTCGATTTATTTTAATATATATATATATATATATATATATATATATATATATATATATATATATATATATATATATATATATATGAGTGCTCTTCTCATCAGGCCGGCCTGACGGGATGCTCCGTCCGGCCGAGCCCATTTGGGCACCTTCCCGGTGGAATTTTTTGATGAAATTTTTTGAGCATGTTCCCCATCAAGTCTAGTTTGTCCATACCAAATTTCAGCTCAAAATTCGATCGGGAAGGCATTCAAATCATTTTTTGAAGTTGACTGCGTCAAAATATACATATAAAACTGCAGTCAACTTAAAAAAAAGATTTGAATGCCTTCCCGATCGAATTTTGAGCTGAAATTTGGTATGGACAAACTAGACTTGATGAGGAACATGCTCAAAAAATTTCATCAAAAAATTCCACCGGGAAGGTGCCCAAACGGGCTCGGCCGGACGGAGCAGCCCGTCAGGCCGGCCTGACATGAACATTCCTCTATATATATATATATATATATATATATATATATATATATATATATATATATATATATATATATATATATATATATATATATATATATATATATAGGGAGAGGTTCTAATGAGAACATCTCTTATTGTGAGAAGTGAGAACTAATCCTGATCACTAATCATATTAAATCAACGGCGCATTAATGAATGGTGCACACTAGTACAATGTACGTCCCCACATATGATACCTCTTCTACCTCAAACTTGTGAAACCGTGGACTTTATAAAGGGCATGAATGTTATTATCATTAGCAATACACATATCCATTATGGCGTTCCTTTTGATTCTTCCATTTCCTACAAAGTAGCAATAGTTACTTGACATAAATAAGAGGATTCAAATTTGGAAGTAATAAAAAATTGATTTTTGGATAAAGAAAACCAACTTGCCGTTTTAGAATTACCAAAGTAAATAAAACACTGACAAAGAAGTGCAATGAATTAATATCTAACACACAACCACTAATATCTAATGCACATAAATAAGTAACTTACACATTATTATATGTATGAAAACACCAGAACACGTATTTTAAGCACAAAACCAAGTATCTAATTAACAACGATTGAGAACTAATATCATTTTTTTGAGAAGTAATATCTAATGTATAAGAACTTTATACAAATTAAATTATTATATAATTTATGGGAGTAACACACAAGAATTAACATCTGATGCAAAATACGTATATGCGCCCTACGAACCAATATTTAGCACATATTACGTACATAAATTAGAATCAAGTGTCTAATGCTCAATAATCAGTATCTAATACACAATCATCAATACCTAGTGCACATAAACAATACTTAACTCACATTTACTACAGATTATTGTTGTGTACAATTCGATTATAATTGTGCAATAGTAAACCTTTAAATTATTTTGAGGTTACAGTTTCGATTGTGCATAGTCATATGCAGTGGCGTGATGTACGTAGTAGTTCAAGTGATGGTTGTATTTTTTTGATAATTAACATACATAACTAGAAATATAAAAAAAATAAGTATCTAAAAAGATAAAGTGGACCAGAGAATTAAGTGGATCAAATATATAAGTGGAGCAGAGAATTAAGATTAAAAATAAAGTGTAATGTTTTAGAGGACGTGTAATAATTACTCATCCTTTCCTAAAGTGGAAGATACGCATTTAATTAAATGTCGGTTACAAAAAAACTGCCGAAAAGAATTATACAAAAATGCCCTTCGTTATTCATTTGATCATCGTAGTGCATTATGTATTTTGGATGGTTCAGATTTGTTCTCAATTCTTACGTTAAGCCTTGTTCTTATTTGAACCAAAGTTTATATATATATATATATATATATATATATATATATATATATATATATATATATATATATATATATATATTACTAAGTTCTAGAAAGAATTGAGAAATTGTTTTGTTTAAACCTTGAGACTATAAGCAAACATATGTAACACCTCTAAGAAATAGAAATTTTCAAAATGAAATTGATGTGGGGCCACGGGGGAATAATCGGATGGATGGCTATTGGAGAATGGGCATGCGTGCGTTGGTCTCAGCACTGTACTGTGCTTTTCTCTTGGGCAGAAGATTTTTGTGGAAGAAGGTAGTTACGGAATAGCGTGGGCAGTATAGGAAAATAAAGGAAACGCCGATGCAAAACGCTGGAATGAGTGGCATTTCATGTTTTGGTTGTTTGGGACAAAAAGCCAATTAAAAATGCTATTTAACCAAACACTTTTATTAGCTGATTCATTTAATCAAAAGGCCAAACATAGTCAAATCAGCCAAAAAATGGCTGCTAGGCTCGTTACCAAACACCCCCTAAAACTAATAAAAGTAATTAAATAAATAATAATAATAATAATAATAATAATAATAATAATAGTAATACTAATATACCCTTGGAAAAATGGACAGCTTCGCCATCGTATCCACCATATTTGGAAAGGCACCGCACCGCCATCGTTTACAGAATTGAAGAGCTCCAAATGTTTCCCATGCCTCTCAGTCGCAGTGGAACATAACGGCTCGATCTGAGTGATGTCTTTCCTGACAAAATCGAGCAAATTGCTAGAAGAGTCTACGCTTGGACAATGACGAGGCGCTCGAAGACGATGAGGAAACAACAGAGAAAGAGGTGTACAGACACCGCTACTGCTTCTCTAATCCATCTTTGCTTCATCCGATCGAATTTCCATCTCAACGCTACTGCTTCTCTAATCCATCTTTGCTTCATCCGATCGAATTTCCGTCTCAATCTAGGGTTCGTTCACTGCATTCTTTGTTTCATTTGTTCATAAGCATATTACCTATTTTGGTTTGCATCCATTATTTCGAGATTAGCCTCAACATGTTTCTTTGATGATTAGTAATTTTTTTTACTTGGAGTATCGGACTAAGCGTTACAGTTTTACCCTTTAACATAATTCATTACGCCCTAATTCCCTAAGCATAAATAGGGCAATCCTCTGGTGGCACCTTTCGGCGGCGGCAGTAGTCCAACGAACAAGCTTGAACCCTTCAAAGGTGTTTTTGTCTAATCACAAATAAGTACTCCTAGTTAGGGGATTATGAACAATGAGTCAATGACTCATTGTCTGCTTCTATTTTGAGAAATGTTTTACTTTTATTTTGGGAATTCACTCTTTGATTTAAATATTTATGGAAGAACCCCATTTCAATATACCTGACTGACATAGTGATATCACAGACTAACAAAATTGCAAGTAATTACAAATAATAAGTTATGGAGGAGGTTTTCCTGTTGAGAAGATCGAAAATAGCTTGACTTTAAAATAATTGAGACTAAATCATCGAGCTTCACAACAAAATACTAACTAAATAACCTTAAATGAAGCAAGAACTTCTTACAAGACTTGCACCAAGTCAGTCCATGTGCCTCTGGATTTCTGCAGCCATTCAAGCTCCTGAACAGTACAAGGCAGGCACCAATGGCTTTAGACAAAGCAATCTCTTGTGACACTATCCACCAAACTGTTCTCCGGATCTGAAGTTTTAGACAAGAAAACTCCCCACTCCCATTGGGTTGCCAATGATATCGGCGTAATACTCGTTATAATTGATATAATCCCAAAGACGCGATATACCAAATTCATCATGCTTAGGGAACTTAAGATAAATTAGATGCAAATCTTTGATGCTCTTCATGAATGTATTTCTTATGGAAAGCATCTGCAACGTCATCAACAAAATATACCAGTTAGGTTAAAGTGTTAAACATCTACCAAAAGATATAACATGACACTACTGCCATTAGTTGACACACATCATGCAGTGCGATGATAAGTTGATTCGAGTCTCACAATTTGAATTCATAAAAGTTATGCCAGCATATATCCACAAAACGGTATGAGTTGCATGAAAAATATGTAGTAAATTCTGGTAAAAATATGTAGTACATTGGAGAGGGTATTGACTCTTTTAGATTTCACAATGCTAAGAACAGCTAGCTGTGAGCCCATTTGATAGCCTAAAAATAGACTACTAGGAAGCACGGAAACACCAAACATGATGAGGTTTCTATTTCGGAAACGCCACGGAAACTACCAGAAAGTTTGTTGGGATTGGGCTTGCCGGCTGGGCTTGGGAAACGTTTAGGAAACAGGAATCCAATCAACTGAGGAGTTTCTCTTTAAAACCCTATTGTCGGTCCGAACAGAAGCCTCTGAAATGGGAATGCACTTGACCACTCAAACAGCAAATCAGCAGACTGGCCCTCTCTCGGCAATCCACTCAAACGGGGATCCACTTGACCACTCAAACAGAATATCGGCAATCCCGCACAGAAGCCTCTCAGCAGCCGGCCCTCTCCATTGTCTGCAGCTTTACAGATTGCACCTGTGCACCACCATTGTCGCGGCTCTATCAACATCAGTATCGCAGAGACGCCTCTCGGTGGTCGCAGCTCCATTGTCCCGCAGGTAAGTATGGATGTATCCGGATCTAGGAATCATAGCACGTGAACATGGCTGACCTCATTTAATAGTTACTTCCTCCGTTCTTTAATAAATGCAACACTTTCCTTTTTCGGAAGTTTCAAAATAATTGCAACATTCTATTTTTGGTAAGAAAATATAGGCTCAATGACTACCATACCCCTCTCCCTACCCACAGCCCCATAATCAATCCCTCTGCACCCAAATTAATCTCACCCACTCATGAGTCATAACAATTGATTTTTTCCTCATGCCACGTTCCCCATTTGCTTCTTATCTCTCTCTCATCTTCTTCCACTTTTCTCTTGTGGCTGTATTATGCTCGAATCAAACCCTCAACTCCTCTTTCTTGTTCTTCCATGTGAAGAACTATCATTTCTTTCTTCAATTTCTTTGATCTTTTTTCTTTTATCAATATGTTTTTCATTGTCTTTTAAAGTCGTATATGGAGACACACCGTGCGTCAACAATAAAGATGCGAAATTGTTTGCTCCGACAACTTCTTTTCAGGATCGGACTAAAGGAAGGGAAAATTTTACTCACTGTATACTTTTAGCTCAATTGGCCGGAAGAGATTAAAGAAGGAGCATCCGTAGGCCGTAGCTAGAGTAGCCTGACAGTTATATTTCTCTCGATGTAATAATAGTCATGTGTAATTGAGGGTAAAGCGGGAAGAAACAACACTTTCCTAAAGTTTCTTAATTCCTGTGCCAGAGGGAGTGTTGCATTTAAATCCGAACAGAGGAAGTATTTATTTTTATTAGAAAAAATTTTAATTTTTAGTGCGACATTTCCGTGCCGTACCTGTATTTTGTTTTTTTTAGATTAGAGTTTCCCGGCCCAATTTCCATTTCCTTCTACTTAACAATAAATCATACATATCCAAGATCAGGCAATGCCAATCCACTAGTAAGGAACTAAGGACACAGATTAATACTACCTGCGTCCCATTTTATGTGTCTTTTTTATTTGGCACGATTATTAGAAAAGTGGTTGAAACGATAAAAGTTGTGGTTGAGCTTTGAGTATAATAAAGTGAAAGGTTGTGGACCACATATTTTTCCCTAAAATGGAAATGTGACTTATTTTGGGACAACCCGAAAAGGAAAGTAAGACATGTAAAATGGAACGGAGGGAGTATGATACTTCCTTCATTCTGTTTTAATTGCACCACTTTCTGATATGAAGTGGGAAGAGCATGGGGCGGGACGGGCTTGAGCCCACCTTCGTGGGCTGACTGCGAGCAATTTAATTAATTTTAATTATTCCTTTTATTTTGTTTCCTAATTTATTTTGTTTCCTAGTATGATTTAATTAGGACTTCTATTAATTACAGGTTTCCTATTTCTATTTAGTTTCCTTGAATGGTTTAATTAGGACTCCTATTATGTTTCTTACTAGGATTTAGTTTCCTATTCAGTTTTGGATGTAAGGGTTATATAAACCCCTGCCTAGGCTTATTCAAATCAGGCATTAATAATATTGGTTTTAGCTATTTAGCTCTGGGCAACGGATCCAGCCGTTGATTATTTTGAGCAACGGGTTACCCCGTTAATTTTATTTTTCTGTTCTTATCAATTGGTCTGACCTGCTGGATCCCGTCCCACCAAGATGACGAGATCTCAGAATGATCGATTGACAGAGCTGGAGAACGAACAAACTCGTATGAGAGAAGAAGTGACCCGGATAAGGGCCGAACAGGCAGAGCATGGTGGCAAGCTGTCGGAGATCATCGCCTCACGAGCGGCATTGACCCAGGCGATGGTCCCGCCGGTCACACCGAAGAAAGCCGCAGATGACGTGGGTTGAATCCCGGCAACCGAGCTGCATGGAGAAGGCGTGCTGAGCAATCCAACTATAACGCTGCTTCCGTCGTTCGATGGGGGAGACCCAATTGGGTGGATCGCTCGGGTAGAGCAACAGTTCGAATTACACAACACTTTACCGGAAAAGAAGGTGGCTGCCGCGATGGTAGCTATGGAAGGAGGAGCGCTTTACTGGGTGACCTGGCTGAGATCGTGCAGGCCTGGGATGACTTGAGCAGATTTCAAGCAAGCCTTGGTGGACAGATTTGATTCTCGATTTCAGGGCAATAAGTATGAACGATTGTCCGGAGTCGGGCAAATTGGGTCTATAGAAGATTACAATATCTTGTTTGTTCAGCTAGCAAGCCAAGTTCTAGGGTTACCCGATGAGCACTATTTGGGATATTACATGAGCGGTCTTAAGGGGATAATCCGAAGCTCGCTGCGATTGCTCCGACCAAACAACCTGGAGATGGCTATGGAATTAGCTCGCGAAGTGGAGGCTGTGGAGTATAATTTGTCCGTCCAAAGTGGAGAAAGTGGCAGCCTGAATTATCATTCATCAGGGGTACGTTCTAGCAGCCTTTTAAGGGCAAACACAGGTTCCCCGTTGACTGCCATTGGTGGCAGCTTACAAGGTTCGGAGGGCAGCTTTGCGAAAGATAGTGGACAGCCTCCGGGGACGAAGTCAGGGTTGTTTGGGCAGCCTACGACACGCTCTCAGTTCACTCGACTTCCGCCGAAAGAGTTTGCAGAACTACGGGAGAAAGGATTATGCTTTAGGTGCAAGAAACCATTTACACCAACACATGACTGTCCCTTTAAGCAGCTGCGGGTAATGATAGCTGAGGAGGATGAAGAGTTGGACCTCAAGCAGCATGAATTCTGTGAAATAACCGGCCAGGAAAAGGTCCCGGAAAGAGAAGAAGGATATTTTCCAGTCTATACTATGTCTGGAAATTTCAGTTCCCGATCCGCGAATTTTCAACCTTGAGGACAAGGTTAATTTGAAGGAGGATGGATTGATATGAAGCGGGAAGAGCATGGGGCGGGACGGGCTTGAGCCCACCTTCGTGGGCTGACTGCGAGCAATTTAATTAATTTTAATTATTCCTTTTATTTTGTTTCCTAATTTATTTTGTTTCCTAGTATGATTTAATTAGGACTTCTATTAATTACAGGTTTCCTATTTCTATTTAGTTTCCTTGAATGGTTTAATTAGGACTCCTATTATGTTTCTTACTAGGATTTAGTTTCCTATTCAGTTTTGGATGTAAGGGTTATATAAACCCCTGCCTAGGCTTATTCAAATCAGGCATTAATAATATTGGTTTTAGCTATTTAGCTCTGGGCAACGGATCCAGCCGTTGATTATTTTGAGCAACGGGTTACCCCGTTAATTTTATTTTTCTGTTCTTATCACTTTCATTTTCACGTATGTCAACGTACACCATTAAAATATTTAATTCACTATCAGTAAAAAAAATATACCATATTTTGAAAATATAAAATGAGACAAACTTAATACTCCCTCCGATTCACATTAATCTTTACACTTTGACTTCACATATATTAAGGAAATAAATTTGACTTACTGTAGAGTACACTGTTTGACACTGTTTGGCACTATTTTGCACTGTTTTGCACTGTTTGGTGTAGATTTGTAAGGCAAATAAGGAATTGTAAAGTTTAATATGGTACTTCCAAAAAAGGAAAGTGTAAAGATTAATGTGAACCGGAAGGAATACTGTTTTTCGAAAAATAAATTTCTCATATTTCATACATTTAGAAATAAAAACGTAGTTGAAGTAGAGCATGTGAATAGTGTAAAATTCAACATGTTGCAATTATTTAAGAACAGAGGTAGTATGACTATCTTGTGCACACTACTCCTAGGAAAGAAAAAGGTCTTCACCTTTATCTGTTCTCAGAGAGTAATGTTTGAGGCTTGATACTATGAGCTAAAGTTCAAGATTCAAGCGTAGAAGTTAATAGACCATCTTCAAAAATCAAGAAATTTGATGACCTTGATATTACATATTCTAATTTCGCACAAGAACACACCCATAACATGTGAGGCGAACTCATACCTGGGTCATGTCTACCTGAGGAAGACCACCCAAAACTTCTCTTTCATTTAGTCCATCGGATATAAAAACGCCATCAGCCATATAAGACCGAAATTCTAATGCAGACTGCAATATCTCTTGGATGATGCGAGCTATTGGTTGGGTTTCATCAGTCAGGAAACATCTGCAGCATACTTTGAAAGTCAATGAAATTCACATTACATATTTAATTCTAAAAAGATTGATAGACTACAGTGTCTTTGTTAGAAGCTTTTAGTTGACAATCTAAATGGAGCCATCATGACGGTTGGCATATAATTTAGTTACAAGTTTATCCTCTAGCCCTACAAGTTGGTGCCTTTCAGATTTGCTAATATCACAACATCAAGATAGAATATTTACTTCAAGGAGAAAGATTCGCTTCCCATAAAGCCATAAATCATTTAAGATTGGATGACATGGAAATAAATAAACGATCAAGGTGAGCTTACATATGCCGTGAATCATTGAGATATTCCATGTGCACCAATGCAAAGTCCATCATATCTTTGACCTACAAGGACAAATGTAAGAACAGGATTAAGTTGTCCAGATATAAGCCTTGTAGCAATTTCTTGGTAAATAATCTTGCGAGCATTGATAAATTCAAATTATTCAAGACACACACACATAACTAGCATGGACTACAGAAATTCCCCACACATAATGATTACAAGTTAAATAATACTCCGTATAACATAAATTTTCACTCTGATAGTGACAGTGGCAAACCTTGTGCTTAAGGGAGTGCATGAACCTGCACCAGGAAACATGTGATAATTGAGATTGCACATATTGCTGGACTGCAGATACAAAATGATTAAGCTGGTGCCTGAAATTCATCAAAGAAGTACACTGGGACATATAGCTCAGCTTGAAATCATACACGTAATAATAACGTTATATAGAATAACATCTCATTGCAGAACTTAATTTCAGGCCGGTAGATTATATACGATCAATTGTGTTTTTTACATATTGTCTGATGTTGCGCCTTCAGCACAAAGATCTTGATCAAGATAAAAGTGCAGTGCTGAAGAACATAGGCAAAAGAGTATTCTACATCCTCTTAAAAGAAGTGAGTAAAGCACACACTTAACACACTTAATGGGTCATTGGGTGATTTGGGTCCTTAAGCATTACGGGTGATTTGGGGTTTTATCTGTTTTCAGTTTGGATTAAGAGAATGATCATCGCATAAAAACCAAACTATGTTTCGGTTGGGTTCGATTTAATTTGTTTAGGATTTGATTTTAAATTTGGTTGGCTTGGAAGAAATATTACCAAATTCAAACCAAATTTCATTTGGTTCAGTTTCTGTTTATTCAGCCAAACTGAAATGCTGTCACCTATTAGGCACAATAAATCCTTTTAAAAGTCACTACATCTTAAACGCAGCCCCCCCCCCCCCCCCAAAAAAAACATTGTACTGATATCTGAAGTAAAAAACAATTTTATTTTAAAATGGAGGTAGCAAATATTATTCCTGAGTTATTTGCAAGCGAGAATGATGAAGGATAAGAGTCACAAACGGAAACCATAAAAGAAACATGAGAAACGGAAAAGATAAAGAAAACATGAGCAGTCTATATTACATTTCTAGACTGCAATTCAACATGAAACAAGCAATAATTGTTCCAAGCATACAGTGAAATAAATTCCTGAAATACCTGGTTTTAGTTAAGATAGATATCTGATGCAATTTTGTATCTTGTGCCTCAAACTTACAATCCTTGCTCAATTGATCGTGATTCTAGCAACCCAGGGGAAAAAAAGAGACTTCAATAATGCTACATGCGTGTGAGAAACAGAAAACCTTGGACCCATAAAAGGGGCAACTGAGCAGGCTAGTAAGAGGATATGCCATGCAAACAATAGATTAAAACATCAATTTAACTATAAAAATATGCATTTCCTGTATTTAATGAGAAAATTTCACAATACCAAGTACAACTTGGTGCAGTTTATTTCTAGCACTAACTCATCAAGTGCAGAATCACTGATCTATTCAAATTCCTTACCTTTAGTAAGCTCCATACATCACTTAAAGAGATAAGTGCAAGCTTGATTTGTATCAGAAAACTGAAAATGTCTGAGTATATTTTCAATGCGTCAGGGGTTAAAATGATACTGATTGGCCAATCCACTCGGTAGCCCAAGCCAAGAAAGTCAAAGGAGTTGATTCCTGTCATATGTGATTAAGGTTAAAAGCAGAGTGGAAGGGGAGAAAAAAGAACACAAAATAGTTAACATTGTAGATGCATTGAGAATAGCGAAGGTCACATAGAAAATATTTGGAAATGCATTGTACCATGAAATGGGCCTGTAGCCAAAGCTGGACTATTAGCCATAGCATGTTTCATGTACACGTATAGTCGAGCTCTATTTGTATCTCCTTCACATGAAGATCTCTGAACTGACAGCTCAAGAAGACCTTGAATTTCTGATAATCTCTTTTCAGCCTCTAAGACATACCATTTCTAATGTGATCATAAAAAAATGCATCAGAAGATATGTAATACGGGAGTGAAGAAGTAGAATAAAATATAGCATAAGCGACACGGTATGAAATAGTATAACAGCATACATGACGCAGAAGAGATGTCATGAACAAATCCACCCAGTCAGCTACTTCCATAAAATGATACCGCTTTAGTGCCAACAAATGCTCTTGCAAATCAAATCCTTTCTCAAACAATTTTATGGTCAATTTGCTTAGATACTTATATCTACTGACATCAAGGAATCAAAACTTCAAACTTTATAACCGAACAAGCAAAGAAAAGTTGTATTGGCTGTAGAAGTTTAGATATCACACGAATGTCGATATATTCTTTTACCCTAGAAAATTGATTCATTCTTTCCCCTTCAGTTCAGAATAGAAAATAATTCACAAGTTGTACTCTAAAGAATCCGAAATGGTATTTTAAAGGAGGTCACAATGGAATAAGAGAATCCACACACACATTAAAGGACATTGTATTTAAATATTAATCCCAATGAAAAGCCACACAAACACATACATCTATGACCTAATTAGTACTATCACTGTTACTCCACAACAACAACATCCAAGCCTTAAACTTCGAAGCAAAGAGCAAAGTACTCAGTTGTCTTCTAATTTAAGATAATTCGAGAAGGGTGAAGAAAATGAGTACCACTAAGATCATTGTAAATCTTTTCATAGAAAAAAAATTAAGAGAGTAAACTACCAACCAAAAGTAAAGTAAAACTACAGATAGAATTTGACTGATATGAAACTGTTGGCATAGAATAAACAAGGATACTGAAGCAGAATCTCTTCCAGTAAGCACTTCTTGATTATATAATCCAAAGGTATCTTATTATCGGTCACCAGACTAGGCCCATGATAACTGGCACCTGTACTAGTTGTTTTATTACAACCATGGAGCAGACTGGCCCAGCCACTCCCACCATTAGTATTTGAAATTGATGAGAGTTCTGGAGCGCTAGTTTCAGAGCATACATGTGAAGCATAAGAAAGCTTGCCACATTTTCCTGAGTTTCCGATATCCTGGCTTTCTTGATCGTGCACAACACTTGAAGAAATGCCAGTAGCACCAGAATTATCAGTCAAAACAGAACTTTCAGCTCCAAGCTTTTCTGTTGTTCTATATTCCAACATCTGCAAGTATAATTTGCAAGGATCACTTACAGATGTGAAGTCGAAACATGATAAGGGTTTTCTTTGGTGCCATATTTCTCCTGGCTTGGTCCTTGGCTTTACAAGAGAACTTTTGATCAAAGTTGGTTTCAGAATTAAAAAATTAGGATTGTATTTCAGTCTCGATGATGAAAAACTACTTGAGCTTTGAACGGTAGAATTATGGTACTGATGCTCGCTATCAGCCTTCAGGAGTGAAGCATTTGTATGCACAAGTGACTCTTCATAATCCAACAATTCTGTTATCTGACTACCATCATGTACCTTCAACTTTTGAGCCATGGTAAGCAATGATGAATTACTGATATTCCTTCTATGAACGTTAAAAGGATTTACAAGAATGTGATCAGACAGTTGGCATCCAATTTCTGTACCTTGGGTATCACAAGTAAGTAGTGAACTTTGTTCTCCCATGTAAAGGGCCAATGCATGCTCCTTCTCGAGCTTTCCTTTGTGCCTAATACTGGAAGAGTTCCCAGAGTCATCATTTCTTTCACATTTTTCATCCAGAAAAGGCTTTTGATTGCGTGAAATCTCATCTTGGGGCAGCTTTTGCAATGAATGGTTTGTAATGAAAGTCAAAGCAGAAAAATAACTAGACTCCAGTTGCTTATCAGTAAGGGGTATGTAAGTCAAATCCTCAGATTCGGGTTGCTCATCAGAATCTTCTGAACATGAATCTTCAGGTGCATCCATGACATCTTGAGAAAAAAGCTCATCTTCTGTGCTAGAAACTTCAGAAACACCATCAAGCCTAAGAAATACATTTGCAGACTAGTTGACATTATTGAAAAGACTCAAAACACAGAAGCAAATAAATTCAAGAAAGAAAAAAATGTAAAGCTCAAAATTACATCCTAAAAGGGAAACTGATAAGCCCTTATGATCTTTCCTTTAGTTCACATAGCCTTGTCCTACATCACTGGGACAGGCATATAGGTGATATAGGTAATTGACGGCACTAGAGTCGTTGTGTGCCTCAAAATTAAATCAATACTCGCACTAATATCGTAACATAACGTAGAAGGTTCGTATCCACAAGGAAAGGTATTTCTTCTTTGTGGAACTGTAACCAAGGGGTTTTTTAAGATTGTTTGATCTTGAGAAAATTATATCACTAAGATGAAAGACTTATATCCCGATTATATCTTTAACTGTCTCCTCTCAAATACTCAAACGTGGATATCTCCAATTCATCGAGGGTGGTTATTACTAACAAGATCATTCATTAACAACATTTACTATTAGCCAAGTATAGAACACCGTCATATACCTGCTTGATAGTAGCATTTAATCTCTTAATTTCTTGATGAAATCAATTGAAATTGATAAGCTCAACACAACAGTTTCGGTTTAACCAACACAATTAATCCCTCTTGATATTACTAACCATGAGACCATGATTAATAACCCGGAGTTACTTACTTGTGAAACCAGCGATGATTAACCATCGGTTCATTGATTGTTTCTAGTAGTAATTAATGACAAAACTTTAACTAATCGACACTAAGCAACACCACAACATTAATATAGAGATAGGCGAAGGGAAGATATATTAATCAAGAAGAGAAGTTTAAGAAAATAACTCACAACTTTAACATTCAACAAACTTCAAGAGATTCATCCACAAGCGAAAAGTAAAAGCACACACAAAGTAGCAACTTACAATTCATGATTGCTTCTTTCACTCGGAGATGTAATAAAGTTATCATCTGGTGCAAACAGATCAGATGACTTCTGACTCCTCCTAGAGTCTGTATATATAGCTTGAGCTCCATACGGTGAACCCTGTAGCGACTATATTAGTCTTCCATTTCAAGATATAGTGTCATTGAGAAGGACTAGAAGCATAGATAAAGAATACAGTGATGTGTGGTATTAAATACCAATAATCTAGTTCTACCTAAATGAAGGCACATAAAAAGGACAGATTGCCATGCTGGTATCATCAAGATATTGCTAGTTTTCAACTGGTTGAGGAACAGACAATCTATGATACTCTAACACCTAGCGAAGAATGTCATTTAGATTGCCAATAAAGCTGTTCAACAAAAAGTATTATCTCATATTAAACAAAGTAAAGAGAAAGTTTACTGGTAGAAAGATGAGAAATGTGTAACTTAAAAATTCAAAAGGCAAGGCTGAAAAGACAACTGCTATTTAGTACCGTGTGCAGACCGCCTATGAGGCCACGACTGCAAATATTGAAACCCAGGGATAGTTTAAATATGTCAAGGGATCCAATGTCCCTATTTCCTCTAAAAAGGATGCATGTTACATTATAAGATTATGGAAAGATGAAAAGAGCAATCAAGTAGAAGACTAGAAGATTGAGGAGCATAATGTGACTAGAAGATTGAGGAGTGTAATAAGACTGACTGATTGTATTTTAACTTTATTTGAATACTTCATTAGGTTACCTATTCTAGGAAGTGATTTGATATGAATATTCCTTTCCTTGATTAGGTACTTCTATGCAATGCATATTATGAAAGGGAGCTTTACTTTGCTAATAAATCTTGAAAGCATAAATAAGAAAACCTAGAGGTTTTTAAAGAGAAGGAAACTCCATAACATTTCAACCCTTGTTCCGTGTTTATTTTCCATCAAGCACCCATGGCAGCCTACACCTCTGTAATCCCCATTCCCCACAAGGTCCACAACTCCAATCGCCAAGAAGCCAATGCTAACAACCCCTTGGGTGCATAACAGTTGGTTTTGTTGTTAACATGGCGCTGAAGGAATGCAATACAAAAAAGTGTCATTGGTCCTTGAATATGTGAAGGAGAATGACAGACTGCTGCAAGTGAAAGGGACCAACATCCCTAACAAATGCCCTATAAACAAAGGTCAATTGTTTTCAGACCAGAACGGATCCAATAAAGTCTCAAGTTGTGTTTTAAATTTTTGCAGTTTTTATGAGAGGGGCAATTATCTGGGCAGCATTGACATCTAGAGTAGCGGTGCTGGAAACAGAAGTGGTGGTGATGAAGGCAGTGCGAAGGTAGCATTGGAGGATCACTGGTAGTATTAGCAGATGCACTAATGGCTGGAGAGGTGGCAAGCGAGGCAGCACGAGAATGCGAGATGTACTGGTGGCAGATTTTACATTGGCATGTTGGCAGCAGGGCTGGTAGTGTTGGTGACAAGGCAAGCAGCATTGGCTAGTGGTTGTGGTGGTGGAGCTTTGAGGTATGCATGAAAGGTGGGTGTGTTAATTGAAGCTTGTTGCTGGGCCATTGAAGAGTCTGTCTTTTTATTTGCAATGTATAACCTTTTGGCAAGGTTTTTTTAAAGGCTTCCACAAGGACTGGGGAATAATATTTCAACTCAGCCCGCATCAACCCCTGGTAATGGAAGCAAAATCTTATGTACTTGAGGGGTTGTTGGCATTAATGGTGGTCGGGGTTTGTTAGCTACGATAATAATCAGTAAACAGATGCAGTATTATTAACAATGAAGATTGAGGAATTCTCAATACTCCAGGAGGATTAAAGATGAAAAACGAGGAGAACAGTCCAATCTAGAGGAAGAACAGGGTTTCTCTCTCTAGCCCAAAGCCCAGCCAATTCTAACTGAATACCAGCCTTACAGAAAATTATTCCCTCCCCCCACATATATTCTGTTAACAAGCCAGCACATTAATGATTCCCGCCCTTCTTACCCCTCCTCACATACACCTTATTAAAATACTTTCCCCCCCCTTGTGTTATCAGGGTTTTAGGGAAGGAGGTGTATATTGAGATTATTTACTATTTAGCTCATACGGAGTATGATTTATATATCATGTGTAATGTTTCCCTTTTACTAAGCATGTAAGTGTGGGTGCATGTAATGCATGGCCCATGCATTATTCCTTTCTATTATGCATACAACCTATTTATATGTAGCATGCATGCCATGAAATAATACAAGTTACGTATCATTCTCCTTACATGAAGTCTTGCTCTCCCAATATCAGCTCCTATTTTTATCATTAGTTTTATATGAAATTTAACATGGTATCAGAGCCAAAACCTGGATATCCCAATACTAGTTACTTTTGAGATATTTCATTTTTTTTCTTCTTTCCTCTCATATTAACGTGATGGCAATGCCGACTCACACTCGTACCTGGATAATTGATTCTGGAGCAAGTGAGCATATCACTTGTGATAGTGTAAACCTTTTCAACATTTCTACTCGTTCATCTGAACCAGGAGTAAGAATTCCTAATGGGGAATTAGTTCCAGTCACTGCCGTTGGTAGCTTGTACCTGTCTAATGGGTTCTATCTTCGTCGTGTTCTTTATGTTCCGCAGTTCCAATGCAACTTGCTCTCCGTCAGTCGCCTCACAAGTGAATTGAATTGCACACTCACTTTCTTCTCAGACTTCTGTATATTACAGGATTTACGCTCCAGAAAATTAATTGGCAAGGGTGGATTTCATAATGGTCTCTATTACCTAGAATCACCTAGGGGTGAAAGGGTGGCGATGGGAGCTACTCTTAATTCTGATTTATGGCACCGGAGGCTGGGACATGCCTCGAATGGAAAATTACAACACATTTCATTTCTCAAAGGTTTACAACAGTGCAATAGCTTTTGTGATCCTTGCTTACGAGCTAAACAAACCCGGCTACCCTTCCCGAAAAGTACAAGTAAGACTACTTGTTGTTTTGAATTAATACATTGTGATATATGGGGAAGTTATAGATGTGACTCTACTTCAGGAGCACGCTATTTCTTGTCCATTGTTGATGATTTTTCTAGAGGTGTGTGGGTTTACCTCATGAAAAATAAGTCTGAAGTTTGCCAAAAATTGATACAATTTTGCAAAATGGTAGAAACTCAGTTTGAGAGAAGAGTTAAACGGATACGTTCAGATAACGGAATGGAATTTCAAACCAATTTTTTATCTGAATATTATGCCCGTTGCGGAATTATTTTGGAGACATCGTGCACAGACACCCCCCAACAAAATGGAGTTGTAGAGCGTAAGCACAGACATATATTAGAAGTTGCTAGGGCTCTTCGTTTTCAATCAGGATTGCCTATTGATTTTTGGGGGAATGCATTCTTACTGCCGTTTATATTATCAATCGATTACCGTCTCCTATTATTTCAAACAAAAGCCCCTATGAGATATTGTTTAGGAAGGAACCTTACTATGAACACCTACGCGTTTTTGGGTGTCTAGTATATGCACACGACAACAAACGCAAAGATAAATTTGGCGAAAGGGGGAGTCCTTGTGTATTTCTGGGGTATCCCTACGGTCAGAAGGCTTATAGAGTATTTGATTTGCAAAAGCAAAATATATATAGCTCTCGAGACGTGACCTTTATTGAAAATGAATTCCCTTTTAAAATGGTAAATCAAGAAGGGCTCGATTTTGGGGACATAATTGATCGTGTATGTCAAAAAATAATGGGCCATGGCAGTACATATATGTCCGCAGACTACCACACCAGTCCATTGCGCGCTGAAAACTCCCTTCATCCATCGAACTACCAGACAGAGAACCCAGCAAGCCTAGAGCCAGTCAACAGCCTAGAGGATATCTGTGGCTATCCTCTCACAGAAGTGTGCACGCGTGGGCCCCAACGAAATGTAGAAACTCATTTTCCTCCACATGATTCCTGCGCACCAGTCTGCAGGTCACATGGCCAGCTGGGAACACAGACGGATGAGGATGGTGCAGGAGGCGGGCCAAGCTCTAGTCCACTCTTACACACCGGGCAGCTGCTTTCTTCAAATATACATGTGGAAGGATGTGGAATAGATCCTTTGCATCATACGTCTTCTGTGAGTCCGTTACAAAATGCATGGCAACCAAATAATTGTTCAAATGGAGAGAAAAGTGTGGATCCACCTTTAACAAATGACCCACGTGACATGACTGAACAAATTTCAATCACCGATGAAATAAGAAGAGGCAATCGAGCTCGTCGACTCCCTAAACATCTCGGTGAATATGATGTTGACCTGCCGCCCTCCTTGGACTATTCACGGACCACTAATAATCAAGGCAACTCAGCACTATATCCCATTTCCAATTTTATTACTTATGAGAAGTTTTCTGATAAACATAAAGTATTTCTGGCGGCGATTACTTCACGTGATGAGCCACAACGATTTTCACAGGCCATTTTAGATCCAAAGTGGCGGGAGGCTATGCAAAGGGAAATTCATGCTTTAGAGAAAAATGGTACATGGACATTGGTTCAGCTACCTCCGGGGAAGAAAACAGTAGACTCTAAATGGGTCTATAAAATAAAATATAAACCTAACGGCGATGTGGAACGCTACAAGGCAAGATTAGTAGCCAAAGGCTTCACACAAGTTGAAGGAATTGATTTCCACGAAACATTTGCACCAGTTGCTAAACTCGTCACAGTACGATGTTTGTTAGCCGTTGCGGCCAAACGCAATTGGGAGGTACATCAATTAGATGTCAATAATGCTTTTCTCCACGGAGACCTCTCAGAAGATGTTTACATGCGTGTCCCTCAAGGGTTTACTAAAAATGGTGATACCCGTGTTTGCAAACTGCACAAATCCCTTTATGGCTTACGCCAAGCATCTCGTAATTGGTACCACAAGTTTACTCAATCACTTTTGAATATCGGATTTCGTCAATCAAGGGCGGATCATTCCTTATTCATTTTTCAGCAGGGTCGAATTAACACTTTTGCTCTTATCTATGTCGATGATGTCATCCTAGCAGGAAATGATGTGACTCATATCAACAAAATCAAGGGGTACTTAGATGACCAATTTAGTATCAAGGATTTGGGTACACTAAAATATTTCCTCGGAATTGAGGTTGCTCGTTCTCCCGAGGGATTTGTGTTAAGTCAGCGCAAATATACACTTGATATCCTAGAAGAAAGCGGTCTTCTAGCCGCTCGCCCAAGTCAATTTCCAATGGAACAGAACTTGAAACTACGACCAGATGATGATAGCCCACCTGTAGATGCTTCATCATATCGCCGCTTGATCGGTCGCTTGTTGTACCTTACTGTGACTCGTCCGGACATTGTCTTTTCTGTTAGTCAGCTTAGTCAATTTCTCAGCCAGCCACGCCAGTCTCACTTTGACGCCGCCATACGCGTTCTTCGCTATTTAAAGCAGACTCCAGGACAAGGAATTTTCTTATCTGCAGATAATGATTTCTCTTTGACAGGTTATTGTGATGCTGACTGGGCAGGATGCTCCTACACTCGTCGATCTAGCACTGGATATTTCATCACTCTAGGCAATTCTCCAATCTCTTGGAGGACGAAGAAACAGTCTGTTGTCTCACGCTCTTCCGCAGAAGCAGAATACCGTGCCATGGCCGTTACAGTAAGTGAAATCTTATGGCTACGATGGTTACTTCGAGACCTAACCATTCCTCAAACTGGTCCAACTTCTCTCTTCTGTGATAATCAAGCAGCTCGACACATTGCACTCAACCCCGTTTTTCATGAACGTACCAAGCACGTAGAAATGGATTGTTTCTTTGTTCGTGAACGCGTTGCTAGTGGCGAAATCCAACCATGTTGTATTAGTACAACAAATCAGATTGCTGATATTTTTACTAAGGCGCTTGGCACTGATCGTTTTCAGTTTCTCAGGAGCAAGTTGGGTGTTCGCAATCTTCACACGCCACCTTGAGGGGGAGTATTGAGATTATTTACTATTTAGCTCATACGGAGTATGATTTATATATCATGTGTAATGTTTCCCTTTTACTAAGCATGTAAGTGTGGGTGCATGTAATGCATGGCCCATGCATTATTCCTTTCTATTATGCATACAACCTATTTATATGTAGCATGCATGCCATGAAATAATACAAGTTACGTATCATTCTCCTTACATGAAGTCTTGCTCTCCCAATATCAGCTCCTATTTTTATCATTAGTTTTATATGAAATTTAACAGTGTAGGCTGACATGGCAGCTTGTAGGAAGATAAGCATGCAACAAGAGTTGGAATATTATGGTGCTTCCTTCACTAAGAAACCTTTCTGTCTTCTTGTAACTTCATTCTTTCATGATTTAATAGCAAAGAAAGCTCCTTGTTATAATGAAATTACATGCATAGAACTACACTCTACAGAAGCGCATAAACAAGGAAATGAAGAAAATCCCAACAAATCACCTCTTCAAATAAGCTAATGAAGGTATTAAATTCATATTAAAATAAAATTGATCAACCATATTTGAGCAATCAATCAGTCATAATGTCTCCTTAATCTTCTACTTAGTTGCAGTTCTATAATTTCCATAACTTTTAACGCAGCATGAATAAGATAAGTAGTCAATGGCCTTGTGACACATCAAGATTTAAATCATTTAATATGTTATCACAAATTTTAGATGACTGCGCTCCCTCCCATATCCACCAGGCAGAAAAGAGTCAAAAGACTAAGAAATCATAGGCATGGATTTATTAAGAAAAGTTGCATCTGTGTTACTGTGTGTGTGTGCAATCCTAGTGCGGCTACACATCTCAAAAAGGTATGCGTAAAGACTTGAAAACCTCATGCTTCTTGGAGATAGCTAGGAATTACCCCTTGAGGTCTAAATTCAAATTTGGAAAAGATATTATCAATATCTTCTAGTATCTGCAGGTAAAAAGTGCTTCTGGCCAGCGCAATTCCTTCAATTGTTCCTTTGTCAAAAGCCAATGAGGAAGAAAGTGTGGGATATTCAGTGGAAGGCCCATTACACCCCGGAAGAAACTCCTCAAAAGAACAACTCATTGAACTAATATTTTTAGACAACTCGAGCAACCTCTTAATCACTTGAAGCTGTTGGCCTGCTCTGAAAAGAGGAATCAGGAATTTCTTTAAGAATAAAGGCACAGCAACTCCATCTCGTACCTGAGATATTAAACATGTTGGCCAAAGAACTGGTTCCAAATAAAGAAAATAATAAGGTAACACTGAAAAGTGAAAAGCTCCCTGTGGAGCTTCTATAAAGCATGTGATAGCATTACCTTGACATTGGCTACAGCAAAGTTATTTGATATTCCAAATACATCCATAGCAGGAAGATCATGAACAGGTTCCACAACAAATTCTTTGGAAGGATCACTGATCTTGCCTTCGTAAATCCATGATCTAATGAAGCCACAATACGGTTCCCAAGACCGAATAAAGAGGAACTTAAGGAGAGGACAATGAACAGGATCTGCGTCCTAAATAGAGTTCAAGCTGCAACTCATTAGGTGGCAGGCCCAAATAAGAGCACAAAGAAACTTGACTACCATTGTACCCCCCCACCCCACCCCCAGCACACAAGATAAAAACAGTTTGTCATATAGCACCTAGCAGAGGTATAACATAAACATGTCAAGTTACTGTGATAACAGAAGCTAACATTCATACCCTCAGGTGTATGAGATTTTTTTCTCTTTATAAAAAATGCATCATATGTGGGCAAATACCACGAGTCTATCTCATGGATAAAACATTAAATTGAATACTTAGTCAAAGAAACAATGAATTTGTTTTTAATTAACACTTAACCATCAATTTGCAATCCATAAGTGTCATCAAAAGACATGTGGTTTTTATAACAGGCAGAACTCACCATACACAATTCATCCCGTCTTGCTACAACAAAATCCATTAGGACAGATTTTGATGTATGCTTGACTATACCACTTTCAGTTTTCTTTCATTAGATAATACATTGTCTTCCTTCCCTACTTTAATCTATTTCGTCTGTGACGTTAGGGGAAAAAATGTATCATGCCTATTAGTACCTTAAGTTGTGAGTATAAAAATGTTATCAGTGCACCACTTCTGGGAAAGTTACAAAATTCAAGGCCAGCTTTAACCAATAAGTCTTTGAAAGGTAATTCTGGAAAACAGAGGGCTAAATCACACATTTTGCAGATGTTTCCAAGTGCTTCTATTTGCACTCTTAAGCCTGTGCTGTGCAAATAAACCTCCAAAATTGTGATCTCAGAATGACCAATATTTGTCAGGCAGCCTCCATCAGCAACATTAGAGCCGCACCTTAATCTCACAGATGAAAGCAAACTGTTGAGTGCAGAGCTATAACCATCTAAGACTCTTCCCACAGCAACTGCAAATGCCTGGTTAACAAGTGTATGGTTGTTCAACTGGCAGCTTGAATTGTGGCCTTGGATTTCATCAGTCCCTGAGTTGCAATCTGCACTTGAACTTGTAAAGTAACAAACAAATTTGTGGAGGAGAAAAATAATACAACCAAATCGCCCTATGGACTTGAGTAAATTCCCTAGTGCCAGAGTGCTGGATGCTCTGGTCCACAAACTTGGAATGCAATGAAATGATCTATCAGCAGAATCGCAGCAAAAAGAATCTGAGAGTTTCCCGATTGATATTAAAGCTGATTCAACACCTTGCAAAGAATTCAAAGCAAGTCTTACCAAGCTCGACTCCTGTAACATACAAGCAAAGATGAAGTTTTGAAAACAACACATTGATTCAACACAATTGCATAAGTATTATTTAACTTTTAATCCCAACGAGGCACAAAGAAGCACTACTACGAGGAATGGATATGTGAAGTTCAAACTAAAGATTTATTGTTGTAGACCTTTTAATTTATTAGATGCAGATATCAGACAGAGATGTGGGCCTTGTACTAAAATTTTATAGACGATATTCGAGCTGCAGCCGCCACAAAGCTGCACCTTTTGTGGCAAATAATAGTTTGTTAATTAATATACTAGAGTTCCTTATGTATGAAAATACAATCACCAAGATCTTTCAGGTTTCAGCTTAAAGCCACAGCTTTTCTTAGATGCACAACTTGTGCGGAAACTGTTTATTTCTTTTTACTTGAAATGAATTCAAGGTTTTTGAAGGGGATGTAATGCATCCAGTCAAGCTGATCCTTTTGGCTTATATTCTAGGTAATACAACTATTTTTATACACATTATCTGGACTAAAAATGATTGGTTGATCTTCATCATTTGAGAGGAGTAGAAGACAAAGCATCATTAAGAATTGTTCTTTCTCCATTCCGCCACATATTCATGTCCACAATTGCTCCACAACATTTCACTATCTTGCCATTTCCTCCCTCTTTTCAAGGTAAGGAACCAAATCGCAGTCTTGCGTTGCATCAAATGGGCAGTTACATGGAGTGTATGATTTTTCAAGAGATACAAGCTCCACGACACATTTCATACATTTAGGCCTAGCTTTGAATACGAACAACTTTAAAGAAAAAATAATGTTCAGAAACAAAAACAATATTGTGCACTGCTACTTACAGTGACTCCAGAAATAGATAATAGGTCATTTGAAGATTGTTCAGAGTGAAGCGACGACAATGAAGGAATGCCACTTCCAGAAGAAATGGACTCCCACGGTCTGGGTGGAAAGTAGGGGTCTTCCACCTTCAGCTCCTCCAACAGCGATGCCATGCTCGCGCCCGCCGCCATTCTATTCCGCCGTGATTCCAGGTTCCGTTTCTCCTACGGATCTCCCGGGAACTCTGGTTTGTAAAGTAGGTAGTGTTGGTAAATAGAAGTGATTTTTGATTAAAAGGTAAAAGGTAAAAGTTGAGGTGTTTGATAAAAAAGTAATTTGTGATTTAAAATTTTGTTAAAGTACACAAATGTCCTTTCTTAAATTAAATCTAAGCCCTTGTTATCTTAAAAGCTATTTCCTAAATGTGAAGCTGCTGTAATGGGTTATATACATCTGAGTATACATACATAGATAGAGCATCGATTGGAATTTCTTGTAGCTATTTCCCTGGAATTTCTTGTTGGAGAAAGCTATCTTGTTGGCCGTCATCCCTGAGCCGCTGATATTGGATCAGACAACGAGCTCTTAAATTCATCTATTGGGTCACTGCAATGGAGTAACTACATAGTTAGGGATCACCGTCATCCCTGAGTCGCTGATATAGAGGACGGGAGTCAAGGAAGTGATTTCGCAGAAGAAAGAAGAAGACACACGTCATGAAAGAAGAAGACATATACATGACAGGAGAGAAAGGGGCATTTTGGGGTCAAGTGAACAAATTAACCATTATAATTATCCTCCAGGTTGAGATTATTTACAAGAAAACCAACAATCACTTAGAAGCACCCTTGGGGCTGCTTACGGATTCTAGCTTAAAAGTGTTGAACTTTAGTAAAAGTTTGGGTTTACAAACACTAGTTTTTGCTTTTTCAACCCAAAAAGCTTTGCTTTTAAAAAGCAAATGCAAACACAGCCTAAGGGTCTGTTTGCAATAGCTTCTGCTTTAAAAAAGTGTTTTTTAATGAAATGGGAAGAAGTGATTAAATAAAAGTCGATAGTGTTTGAAAACAAAAAAGTGATTTTGAAAAGTAAAAGTTGGTAATTTTCTCTCTTTTTTCATACTTCGTACAAACTATTCAAATCTTGTGATCCTTTCCAAACTAGGCCAATAAAACCCTACGGCGATTAGCTTTGACGCTCTTACGCGGTGGCGCTCGCGCGGCTCGCCTGAGGCCATGACGGCACAGTCTATCTCTCACCGGTGCAAGACAGTGTCGTACCTCGACCTGCCTTGCCCTGATTCGCTCTGATTCGTCCTGCTCCGCCCTCGTTTACCCTGTTGCGCCCTGCTTCGTCTGGTCGCTTCAGCAAATGGAACACAGACAGGGTTCCTGATGAGGCTTGGATAGTGGAACGAAGGTGACTTGTTTTCTGTGATTTTCTTAGGGCGACTCAGTTTCGTCTCCAAGCTGTTTGTGGTCTAGGTTTTTCCTAGTTATTTTTCCGATGGCAACACCGGCTCGCTTGGTTCGACAGGGGGATAATATGAGCATTATCAGTTGGAATTGTCGTGGACTAGGAAATTCGGCAACTGTACAATGTATGGCGGATATTGTTCAAGCTCATCGTCCGTCAGTGATTTTCCTTATGGAAACTAAAATCTGATGCCGACGGGCAAAGGAGATGTTGTGTTCTCAGGGGTTTTCTCACAGTGCAGGGGTGGATCGCGCAGAAATGAGCGGCGGTTTGGTGATAGGCGGGAAAGAGGAGCTGGAACTAAACGTTGTACAGTGCCATGTTAATGTTATTGACACTACAGTTAAACTCTCTCCGAATGACCAGGTTTGGAGGCTCACCTTTTTCTATGGATTTCCGGATACTATAAGAAGAAGGGAGGCATGGAATTTACTAAAAGGATTGGGTGAAAATAATACCCTACCTTGGATGATTTTAGGTGACTTTAATGACATATTACATGATTCTGAGAAAAAATGGAGTATTCCGCACCCACCCTAGCGGATGAGGGATTTCAGTGAAGTTGTGGCTTCATGTGGTTTGAGGGACTTTCCTTTTGACGGGTATCAGTGGACCTGGGAAAGGGGAAAGAACACAAACTACTGTGTGGAGGAGAAATTGGAGAGAATACTTGTGAATGATGACTGGTGGAACAGGTATACGGCAGCTCAAGCATCATCGGTGGAAGCCCCGGTAAGCGACCATATGGCTTTATGGGTCAAAGTTATGCTAACAGCTATTACCTGGAAAGCGAAAACTTTTAAATTTGAAAACAACTGGCTGAAAGAAGATGAATGTGGTACTGTGGTATCCAACAGCTGGGGAGCGAATGCTCACCTCTCGATCAGCGAGAGAATATTATTATGTGGAAAAGAACTTATGAGATGGGACGAGTGCAGAAAGAAAGGCTTCAGGCAGCAAATTCAGGCCTGTAAAAGAAGACTGGCATGGCTTCGGGGAAGAGGCAATTGGAGGAGTACAAATGAATTCCTAAGGGTCCGCTCTGTGCTTTATTCAATTCTTTGATGGAGAAGGAAAATCAATTCTGGAAACAGAGGGCAAAGGAGTTCTCGTTAAAAGAGGGAAACATTAACTCCCGATTTTTCCATAATGCGGTTAAAAACAGGAGGAGAAAGAACAAATTGATCGGGCTTAAGAGCCCGGATGGATCTTGGTGCACCGACAGGTCTCAGGTGGGGGAAATGGTTAGAAACTATTTTGAGCATCTCTTCGTGCATGGGGGGGGGGGGGGGTACAGGGGGCGGATTGTGTTAGAGATTTTAGTCAGATCACGACTAAACAGAACCAACGATTGCTTCGAGATATCATGCCCGAGGAGGTCAGGGCGGCAGTTTTTGATATGCATCCTGAGAAAGCCCCGGGATCAGATGGTATGAACCCTGCTTTTTTTCAAAAATACTGGGATATTGTAGGGTCGGATATATCTAGACTTTGCTCTAATATTTTTAATACAGGACTTATCCCACGAGAACTTAATGTGACTAATCTTGTTTTAATTCCTAAAAATGATAAACCTAAGGATATGGGGGATTGGAGGCCGATTTCATTATGCAATGTTGTTTATAAAATTTTCTCTAAGGTTTTAGCCAACAGACTAAAGGTTTTGTTGGGAAATCTTATCGGGGAAAACCAGAGTGCTTTTGTGATGGGCCGATCCATTGTGGATAATGTAGTGGTTGCTTTTGAAACTCACCATTTTCTGAAAAGAAAATGTAAGGCTAAGGAGGGGCATGTCGCTCTGAAGCTTGATATGAGCAAAGCCTATGATAGAGTGGGCTGAGATTTCTTACGTGTGATTATGTAATACCCGAGATTAATATAAGAGGATTAATAGTACTACTCATACCAACTAAGAACTCCAAAGTTAAGCGTGCATGCACGGGAGTAGTCTTGGGATGGGTGACCCCCTGGGAAGTTTCTCAGGGCGCGCATGACTGAGGACAAAGTGCGCGGTAAAGGCTTGTGGTGGTTTGTGGGGACAGTACTAGAGGTCCGGAGTAACTACCTCGGGTCCTGCGGGGCCGGGGTGTTATAGGTGGTATTAGAGCAACCCTATGACAGTGTGCTGATCTGTTGCATATCGGACAGACACTTAGCAGGGGAAAAGATTCTGGTGTTTGATTAAGATTGGTTTAAGGGCGCAACGAGGACGTTGCAATCCTAAGTGGGGGTGATTGTAATACCCGAGATTAATATAAGAGGATTAATAGTACTACTCATACCAACAGAGGTGCATCTCCTTTTACGGGAGCTCATCCGCTAAGAACTCCAAAGTTAAGCGTGCTTGCACGGGAGTAGTCTTGGGATGGGTGACACCCTGGGAAGTTTCTCAGGGCGCGCATGAGTGAGGACAAAGTGCGCGGTAAAGGCCTGTGGTGGTTTGTGGGGACAGTACTAGAGGTCCGGAGTAACTACCTCGGGTCCTGCGGGGCCGGGGTGTTACAGATTATGACTCGGATGGGCTTTGATAAGAGATGGGTTGATATGGTTATGGAATGTGTTATGACTGTTAGCTACTATGTGCAGTTTGAGCATGATTTTTTGGGCCCGATCACACCAGGGCACGGGCTGAGACAAGGGGACCCCTTGTCACCTTACCTCTTTATTATGGTTGCAGAAGGACTGAGTGCGTTACTGAAGAAGGCGGAGGCTCGGGGGGCATACACGGGGTGGTGGTTTGCAGGGGGGCCTCGAGTCTCTCACCTTTTGTTTCTGATGACAGTTTCCTTTTCTTTAAGGCGACTAATGAGGAGGCAGCTAGGTTAAAAATATTTTAACAGTTTATGAAGAGAATTCAGGGCAAATGGTGAATTACATGAAGTCGTCTTTGTCTTTCAGCCAGAATGTTAGGGAGTCTTTTAAGGTAGCCTGCTGCAACACATTTGGGATCCGATGGTAGGAGGTCAAAATCGGTACATGGGCCTGCTAATGCTTGTGGGGCGGAACAAGTCTGCTATTTTAGGCTACCTAAAAGACAAAAATTTTAATAGAATTAAGAACTCGAATAACAGATTTCTGTCTAGAGCTGGGAGAGCGGTACTCTTAAAAAATGTTATTCAGGCTATGCCTAGTTACACTATGAATGTGTTCCTTCTGCCAAATAATTTATGTGATGAGATTGAGAAATTAATGAATGGTTTTTGGTGGAGGGGCACAAAATTTGAGCAAAAAGGTCTGAGATGGAGAAGATGGGAGGTTCTCTGCAAGCCGAAAAATTTGGGGGGGCTTGGTTTTCGAAAAATAAGAGAATTTAATCCGGTTATGTTAGCCAAGCAAGGTTGGAAGCTGGTGACAGAACCATCCAGTCTGATGTGCAGAGTGCTGAAGGCTAGGTATTTTCCAAACTCGGATTTTTTGCATGCTCAGGTTGGGAGCAATCCTTCATTCAGTTGGCGTACTATCTTTGAGACACAATCTGTCCTCAAAGATAATATCCGAAGGAGAGTAGGGAGTGGGATCGATGTGCAAGTTTGGTCTGATGCCTGGCTCCCTGGAAAGGGACCAGGGAGGATTACATCTGCTAGACCGTGAGGGGTTAGGGACATGAATGTTGCAGCCCTACGGGATATTACAGGGAAGAAGTGGCACAGAGAGAGACCGACTAAGATTTTTAATGAAGAGGATAGGAGGAAGATTCTGAGTATCCCTATTAGTTCTTATGATATGATGAAGAATGCTTATTTGTGGAATGTGGAAAAGTGTGGTGCT